ATAATTACTTCTACACTGACTGCCAATTCTGGTGCTTGGAACATGGAACACAATCTCACTAAATCCTCGCTCACTCCTACGAGGGAGGTTCTACTATGACCCCACCTTCTAGATGAGGGAATCAAGGTTGCGAGAGGATTAGGTAATTGGCGGAGAGACACGCGTATGAGAGACGTGGCACGCAAGACTAGAAGACATATCTCTTGGTGTCAAAGCATTGGCCCTAGCCAGGACTCTATTCTGTCTTTAGGGCAACTTGTTTCTCTGTCCCCAGCTTAGGCTCCCTGCCCAGGCCTGGACTGCTGCAGCATCTGAAGACTTCCCAGTCTGATTACTTCCAGCCGATTTTTTTTTCCTATAAAGGGCTAGAAAGTAAATATTTGCAGGACTGGATTAGTTATTCAGCTCTGCCAGTGTGGGCTGCCTTGAGCCAGGGATAGTACATAAATGCATGGGCATGGCTGTACAAATTTTATTTATAAAAATAAATACATTGCCAACCCTTGCTTAATCCATTCCCCTCCACCTTGCAGCCAGAGTGAGCCAAACTCAAAGGCGACCCTGCTGCCATTTCTTGCCTAGAATGGTTCACCAGTATTTCCGGGGACCATTCCAAACCTTTATCAGGGTGTCTAGCCCTGTGATCAAAGTGTGGCCCCCAGGGTCAGCAGCGTCACCATCACGTGGGAGCTTGGTAGGAAAGCAGAATCTCCAGTGGTTTGCACAGTCCAGTTGGAGAAGCTCTGGCTTCAAGACCCCTGTATCCGGACACCTTCCTCCCTCTTCCACCTCATTCTTTGCCGCTGGAGCCTCCTCCCTCTCGCCCACACCCACTTTCCAGACAAACTGAAATGCTCCGTTCATTTCTGTCCTTGATACATTGCTCTCCTGCCCAGCTCCCTACACTTAGCGAACTCCTACCAGCCTCTAGATCTCAGCGTAAATGTCGCTTCTTCCAAGCAGCCCTCCCTGAAATTCCCAAACCCCGTGAGATGCCCCTCTTCTGTGCTTCCATAGCCCTTCCTCACCGTCACCCACCACACTGCATGGCAACAACGGAACTGCCTCTCACAGTGAGTTTGCGAGCTCCTTAGAGAAAGACCCCGTCCGTCTGGGTCACTTCCGCATGTGTCCTCAACACCAAGGACAAAACCCAGTCACCAGCTACTTGTTGGAAACTGAGCAAAACACACCCACCACCTCTGCACCGTGAACTCCTGTTTCATCAGCCTGTGGCTGCAGGTTCTCTCAACTTCCACCCGGCTCCAAAACTTCGAGGAGTCCTACATCATCTCCAAGATTCCATCTTTCACTAAGCCCCGTGGTTTTTCACTATTAGCAAATGTTTACCATTTGGGGAGCGCCCGAGGGCCTGAGAGATTTCTGAGCAGAATTCTTGAGCAATAAATGAGCCACAGGCCAAGACTTGAATTGTGTTACAGGGTGTGTGTCGGGGGGAGCCAGGCAGAAGGTTCTAGGCAAGGAAAAAGACTTGAAGGCAGGACCCTGGGCTGCAAACCTACAGAGCTGTGAACTAACATCCTTGCCTTTCTGCGTGCAGTGTCAACTGTATACAATTATTCTAGCGTTGCTGAGTGAGAAAGACTCCCAGGCACCCAGATGCTAAAAGTGAGTGAGCCTCTGTAAGGAATCATAAGCCAGGGCTGCCCTTCAGAAAGAGGAGAGCCCTCCCCAAATCTGACATTCAGTCTAGAGTTTTCTACAAGTTCCTTTATTAACAAAGCAAGGTATAAAAGAACAAGCCCCCCCCCCCCCCAAAAAAACCCTCAAAAGATTAAAAGTGCAAATTTACTCCAACCTGAAACAGAAAAAAAAGGCTAGCCTCAACTGTTTGGGCCACAGAAGTGGGTGTGACCCAAAACTCCTTTTAATCACACAACTGTAGCAGCGGGATCATATTTGATTGATTAACCCTTTGGTCTCTGTTATTGGAACAAACCATATACTATGACTGCAGCCAACAGACTACATCATAATACACAGCTGGGGTCAGAATACACATTTCAAATAACAATAAAATAAGAGGAATGTTTTAAAGTCAAGTCACTGAATCAAGGCACAAATTTTTTTTTTAAAGCAAAAGGTGCTAAAAATCTTCCTGAATATCTGATACTTCAAAAACCAGATTGTGTATAGTTTTTTTAAGGCTATTCTCTCTATATAGATGATTGCATATTATCTTCACCCTCTCCCAACCTATACTTGCTAAATTCCCATCAAATCATGTGCTATGTAGGTATAAGAGAAAACAAACAGTAGTGTCTAAGTAACAGACGTGTGTTAAAAAAAAAAAAATTAACAAACACCAAGATGATAACACTGAACTTTTTTCCCCTCTTAAGGGTCACTGGAAATTAGTAAGGTTCATTTCCCTCATTACTGGGGAAGGAGGTAATAGCCTTCCTCCATGTGGGTAGGGATAAGTTAAATCTTCTTCGCCGAGTTCAAAGGCCACATTTTACAGAAAGAGTGACTTATTCCAGGAGGTTAAAAGAGATGCTCTGGAAGCATGCATGTTAGGTTCACCCCTTCCGAATGCCAGGATGTCAGTTTTGGTGGGAGCCAACAGTGTTCTTGGTGGTAGGAATGGTAACAAGCCTAAGAAGGTTGGCCTGAAGACCCAGCCCTGGTTTTCCGGGGTCCAAGACCATCCACCATCACTGCTAAGCCACAGACTGGCATACTACTAAAATAAATGATTAATTTTAAAAGAACAACAAAATACAAATAAAAAAGAAACTAGTTATTCTGCAATCCTTCCTGATTACTCATCTGTGAACTCTGAGGCAGAGCAGAGAAGTTTAGCCTCCACTCACCAGGAAGGAAATGCCAAGAACTGACCCCCAATGGTTTGCTTGGAGGCTGTGTAGCTGGACAAGAACAGCTCCGGGATGAGGGTCCTTCTGGGAATTGTGAGTTAAGTGTTATCTGTGGCCTTGTTAATTTTTTGTTTGTTTGTTTGTTTCTACAATAAAGCTTAGCTCTGAGAAAGAAGGACTTGGAATATCACACCCCCAACTATGTATAACAAAAACATCTCCAGAACAATAAATATAACCTTATACATACTTGGAGGGTTCAGCAGGGGTCGCAAACTGGTGGCCCCAGGCTCAGGCAAATGTTCTGCTTGGCCACGTTTCAAAATGATTTTGTTTAAAATTGAGAAAGTCTCACTTAAAAAAAATTCCTGATTTCCAGCCCCTCCTTACCTTTTTCCCAGCACAGAGCCGACCAATGGCTGCCATGCTTAAGAGGGGCACAGTCCCCACCATCCACCCACCTACCCCTTCCCATACTGATCTCCCTGCCTTGCTTCTGCAGGCTGCTGAGTTTGCGACCCCTGGTTTGAAATAGCACATACCTAAAAATGTGTTTTCTACCCAAACCTCTTACACCCTCATGTGATTTCCCCCCGGGGTTCCCCTTCTCCCCATCTCTTCCTTTAGTTCCCTCTTTAAGGCCTCCCTCTTGAATTCTTCAGATTTCTCTTGGTTCTCTTGCTTCCGGTCTTCCTTCTTATAGCTTCTTTCATTCCTCTTGCCAAAAAAAAAAAAAAAAAAAAATCTCCTTTTCTCAGCCCACAACCATGAGCCTTCCAGGATAGCTCCCAAGACAGGTCAGTGGGAGTAACTGAAGGGTATCTTTTGGAAAAATGGCTGAGTCGTCCTCCCCAAAACTTTTCTTCGGGCACTGGCTGGACAGTTAATCTTTTCTTCTTCTTCTTCTTCTTTTTTTTTTTTTTTTACCATGAGCAATATTGAGGCTTCTTGTGTAAGAATCTTTGCATACGTGAATCTCTAGTACCAAGTATACACCAAAAATGTGTACATTTCAGATCAAGGAGATGACGGAGCCCTGATAAAAGACAGAACTGAGCTTAATTTAAGTGCCTTGGGCAACCATCACACCTGGCTAAATGTCATATTATTTCATTTGTACACAGTACATGTTTGGGATCACTAAATATTGATCAAATTGATCGAAATCTCTAGGTTTTGGTTGCCATGTACAGAGAACTATTGCTCAGCATGGCACTTAAATAAAACATTAATATTTTAACAATTCACAAACACAATGCCCCATTAATTAAAAAATAATAATAAAATTTAAAAATCTTGAGGATGGATGAGGCTTTGGGTAATTAGCCTTAAAATAAAAATACCAATACACTACAAGAACAAAACGTTACCAGATTTAAACTTTAAAAGACTAGTTAAGATTTAAAAAAAAAAAGGAACCTATCAACTCAACTAGAGACGTTTGGAAAGTTCCGCTTTTAAAGCTCTATCATCCCTCCAACAGCTTTGCTATTCCCCACTGCAGTAGACTTAATGACTACAGGGGGAATTGGAGCCGATATGGAGACAATATAAATATATATATATATAGACAGAGAGCTACTTACTCTTTGCATCTGTTTTAAAAAGTAATTTTAAGAAACATTATGCGGTTTATATCTTTGCAGGAAGCTGGTAGACTGATCCCTTTGCTAAACTCAGTACCTTATGACCTAACACTGACCTTAAAAGCTGGGAATGACCTTTGCGATATCAAGAGGAACTGTCCCCAGAACAACCTCAAAGAGAAGGAACGACATTTGCAACTTTCTCTTCCAGTCCAAGGTTGCAAAAGATCTCAGTCTCTGCAGCTCCCGCAAGGATTCCCTGCAAATCATTTATTCACAAGGATTTCCTGCCATGGCCAAGTAGGTCCCCTAAAGAAAGTTTAAAGAATTCCCTCAAAATAACTCAGAAGTTAAACAATGGCCCTATTCAGGGGGCTATTTCTGTCTTCCAAGTTTTACCTTTAAGAGTCTAAGGAAATATATGTCTTTGTCAAAAATATTTCAAAGTCCCAAAGTCTAACACTGGGTGGGACTGGCTGCATTTTCTATTAGGCAAGCAGATGATGGACTATTCTGAACCTAAACTAAACCTAAAGTGAGTTGGGGATATTTATGTGCAAAGGAAAAAAAAAAAAAAACCAGACTGCTGGCAGGAGCCGTGGCCCCCTCGCCTCCTCCTCCCTCGCTCTCTTTTGCTGACTGCTGGTGGGTGGTCAGGGAGCACAGAGCCCAAGATATGGAATTCTATAGGAAATGCTTTACAAGACCTGGGTCCAGTCAACCGCTCCTCCAAGTTGGCCTTAGGACCACTTAAAGGCTGCCAGGGCGATGGGAGGGAAACGTGGTAACCACTAACCATAACTGAGCACTGACCGAGAGAGCTACCTACACGCAAGGCACTAAGACAGGCATTTGCGCATTATCTCGTGAAACTCAGAAACTCCCATGCAGAGGAGTTTGTTCAAAAGGCTTCAAACAACAACAAAATGTTTCTGTCTCCAGCCAGCAGCAAGCTCTGGTGAGTCACCTGGATAGGCAAAGACTGAAATGTATCTTTCTCAAAACCCCATGTGTTTTCCCTGAGTACCAGTGTGGTCCTAAACATGGATCTTTTGCTACTTTGCACCGTGCCTGGCTCACGGTGGGCTCTCCATGAGTGGGTGTGGACTGGTACATATTCCAGGGTGGGCCTGTAGGGATGTTAGGCAAGCCTGCTTTTTAAGACTGCACATTTCTTAATAATAAATGTAACTGGCCTCCCTTTCCGATGCAACACTTGGCAGTGGCAATTACCACAAAATGAAAGTACTGATCAAAATAAAGTGCTATTTGCTCTGGAATTTTCTCTAACCAACTCTTGACTGCCTCTCAACACATGTGACTTAATTCTTTGCAATCCTGTCAAACACCCCTGATGGTACCACTTCAAATAACACATTAGTATTAATTTGAATAGTGGAAACAGTGTTCCTCAGAACATAAGCCCCTAGAATAGAACTTCAATTCCAGTTGTAGATAAAGATTCACACCTTTTAAAAGACAATCAGGAACCTAGGACAGAGCAAGTAGTTACAGCAAAAAAAAACAAAAAACAAAAAACACATTAGCTTCTTTAAATTTGGGAGCGAGGGCAATTTCTCTGCAGCTAGTTCTTGCTTCCTTCATGGGGCTTCCCTAAAAGCTGGATCCTTCTGCAGAATCATTCCACACAAACCAACATTTGAACCAACTCTTAGCTGCTGGTGTTGGAGGCCTTTCTGTAGCTCGCTCAGAATACACCGGTAGGTGTGAACAAGATGCCATAGCTATACTGGATTGTGGGGCCAGGGGGGACATATAAGCCACCAAATGTCAGCCTCCCAATTTTCCAACACTTTTGGCACCTCATTTCCTTGCATGAAACTGGCTTCATTGCCATCCCCACCCCATGTGGTGGAAGAAGCTTTAGGAGCATTAGGCCAGGTGGGGGCACTATCAAGGTTTATGGTTGATCTTCAGGGAATCCCTGTGCCCGCTGACTCCGGGGTGGGGGGCATCTGTCAAGGTAGCGAGGACCTCCGTAGACCCGGAGAAGCTGGGGCAGCCTTCGCCAGGTGGACAGCAACCTCGATGCGGCAAGCTCCCGGGCTTGCCTGTCGAATGCAGCCAGGAGGTCAACCGGGGCGGCCTCACGCAGTACCTTGGGCAGGGGGCCCACCTCAGCAGCTGCCCCACCAGGGCCCAGGACGCAGTGGAAGAGCGTCTGGCGTCGCAGCAGGCAGTCCCTAAGGAACTGCACTAATTCTTCCAACCGATTGCACAGGTGTGCCTCGTCCCAGCCTTGAGCAGGAACCCCCTCACGCAGCAGCACCGCCAGCAGCGCTGTCTTGAGCATATATGAGGACAGGATGCGTCCCCACTGGGCTGTGGCCCCCAGGTCCAGCCCGCGGGCGCCCAGGTCTCGCAGAGCTTTAAGTAACTGTAGGCACTTGAGGTAGCAGGCACCTGGAGGGGCCCGTTCCTGCACCCAGCACAGCAGCTTCTGCTCCTGCCGAGCTGTGTTCACACCCCACAGTGCATCCGTGCGCAGACCTCCCGGGAGCTCGGACAGGGGCCCGACGGGTGAGGGTGATGGTGGTGGTGCCACGAGGAAAACGCCATCACCCAGATGCACAGCGGGGATGAGACGCACTGCCATGGACAGGCGGCAGCAGCCATAGTCGGTGCGGCAGGGCAGGATGTGCAGGGTGGGAGGCTGTTCCAGGCCGCCCGGGGTCAGGCTGACCCGACAACGCCCCTCCAGACTGTAACGCACGGTGGCCAGGGAGCGCTGTAGGTGCGCCTGGAACCAGCGCAGCACCAGCGGGGCAGAGAGGTGACGCCGCCCAAGCACGTCCACGCAGAAGCCGTCGGCGAAGGGTTTGCAGTCCCGGAGCCAGTGGCTCCCGGAGGCCCCCGGCGGAGCCTTGAGGGCGCACACGAAGCAGCCGTGGAAGGCTGGGGCCAGCGCGGGCTCAGTGCCCAGGCTCCTGGGCTCCAGCGCCACCAGCGGCGGGAGACGCAGCGGCACCAGCACGTCGAAGCCGTCGGGCCGCCGGATTTTATGCTGCTCGTAGGCGCTGCCCACCTGGATGAAGTCTCCACGGAAGGCCAAGGCCAGCGCCCCCCCGGGGATGGGGCCAGGGGACCCCCGGGCGCGGCCAGCCCGCACCAGCTCGCCCACAATTCGGCTCACGTGCGCCTTGCTGTGGCCCAGCACGTGCGGGGACAGGCGCAACTCGTGCTCGTAGTAACTCTCCAGCAAGATGCCAAGACTCGGCTCTGGGAAGTGTCCAGGAGAGAAGGTGGAGTGGCTCCCCAGGCGACGAGACCCTGGGAGGAAGCGCTGCCGAACTGCGTGGCGACAGCGCAGGAGGATGTAGCCGAGGAAGAGCAGGGCAGCTACCTTGAGCAGCGGGAAGCCGCCGTCCGTACCGTCGGGGGGCTCGGCCCGAGCGCCCCCGCTTCCCCGGAGGACATGGTAGAGGCACACAAGGGCAGTGCAGAGGCCGGTCACCAGGGGCCAGAAGACGCGCAGATTGAGGGTGTAGTGCACCGACATACCGGGCGCCCGGGGCAGCGGCGGCCTTGCAGCCCAGGGCGCGAGCCCCGGCGGCGCCCCCGGCCCAGCATGCGGGCAGCGCCCGGGCAGCCCCGCGGTCCGAGTCTCCTTCGCCTCCGCCGCGGCTCCCCCCTCGCAGGGCGGGGGGAAGGCGCCCTCCAGCTCGGCCCCCTCTCCCAGCTCAAGTTTTCTTTCCAGCTGCGGCCCGCCCTGCACTCGCGGGCCCCGGGCCGCGCCCTGCGCCGGCTGCACGCCTGGTCCCGCCCGGCGGCTCTCCCCGCCCGACGCCCCGGCTCGCTGCCGGCGGCCAGCTTCTGACCCGGCCGGGCTTGCCTCCTACCCTGGGCGGCACTCCCGGGCTCCCTCTCGGCGCTCGTTCTCGCTCTCCTCCGCGCTTGTTCCCGTTACTCGGCCCCAGGAGTTTCCTCTTGCGAGGGGAGAAGAGTCCGCGCCAGCTAGCGGGGAGGAAATGCCGAAGTCTGGAGCCGTGCGCGGAGCGGGCGGGTGGCGTGGCCCCCTCCCCGGCCTCCGCCTTAAAGCGACGCGGGGCGGCGGGAGGGACTTCAGGACGCGCCTGGAACTGGCTTCTCGCGGGCCACCGCCCCTCCCTTCTCCCCAAAGGCAGAACCGGGAAGGCCCTGATTCCGGGGCGGTGGCCTCGTCCTGGGAGCCTCTGGAGTGGTGCTCACATAAAGTTACACGGGGAAGTTGAAAAGCGGAGAAAAGGGCTCACACCCAGCGTGTCCTTCCCCGCCCCCAGCCAAGCAAGTCGTGGCGCTGGTGGCGTGGCAGGCTCTGGCACGGAAGTGGCCGCTGCCACTGGGCTGCCGTCCCTTATTCAAACCACTATTTACTGAGCACCTACTACGTGCCAGGCCATAGGCTAGGAGCTGGGGAAACAGCAGTGGGCAAGATGACCTGAGGTGTCTGCTCTTCGAAAAGCTTACAGCCTTTCTAAAAAAGGAAACCAAAAGAGAAAGGATCCTGTAGCAGAAAAAGCCGTGAAAGAAAAAAAAACTGCGTGAGGGAATGCGAAGGCGGGGGCTGCCCCATGGAAGCCCGAGGCTTACGTGGGCTGAACCAGGAGGAGCCAGCCTTGGGGATAACAATTTCAGCTTTTACAGAGGACTTACTGTGTGCCAGTACTGTGCTAATCACCTTACACATATCCACTCCTCTTGTCAATCCTCTGAAACGTACACTATTATTTTCCCCATTTTTCAGATGAGGAAATGGGCATAGCCAGGTTGGGGGACTTACCCAGGGTCACATATCTTTAGCAGAGCTGTGCCTTGAATACAAACATCTAGATCCAGAGAAGCCAGGGAGCAGGACTCGGGGAGGGGTGCCAGAGAGTCCCCCACTCAGCTGCTGAGAATTTGTCTGTGTCCTTTGTCAGGACCTGCACTGGGACCTCAGTCCTTGGGAAGCTTTGGTTCATTTCATAACAAGGAGCACTGCCTGAAATAATATGGATTTGTTTAGTCAAACTGGATTTATTGAAATAATTATCTTTACTTACTTATGCTCATTGCACCTTCCCCCCCCCCCCAAAAGAAAACATTTAAGGAGAGCAAAGGTGAATGCATTAAAAATGTCAGAACTCAGCTGACCTCTGGGACTTAGGACGCACAGGGTGGCCGCGGAGTTAAGCATCGGGATGACTCCCAGGAAATCCTGGGCTGAGCCTCTTGGAGCTAAGGAGACCGGCTTTCAGCTACAGCTCATGGTCTACTAGTCCAGGTTCTTCTGATGCAAGTGACAGAAACACAGCTAAAAGATTAACTTACTGTGACATATTAAGTGAGACGCTCAGGGAAGCCTGCTTTGGTACAGTTGGATACAGGTACTCTCCTTCCTTCTTCTTCTTCTTCTTCTTCTTTTTTTTTTTTTTTAAGATTTTATTTATTTATTTGACAGAGATCACAAGTAGGCGGAGAGGCAGGCAGAGAGAGAGGAGGAAGCAGGCTCCCTGCGGAGCAGAGAGCCCGATGCGGGGCTCGATCCCAGGACCGTGGGATCATGACCTGAGCCAAAGGCAGAGGCTTTAACCTGCTGAGCCACCCAGGTACCCCTCTCCTTCCTTCTTAACTCTGTTTTTTTCTAGGTTGGGGGCATCTCTGCCAGGCCTTCTCCATATGCCCCTGGCTGCTCTAGCCTTATCTCCTATTAACCTCTGTGCAGAGGAAAAGAGAGCTGTGCTTGCCTGAAAATTGTAGCAAATGCCATTCCTAGAGAGAGTCTTGAGAAATAAGCTAAAAGTGACCAAGTTCAGGGTACCTACCTGGCTGACTCGGTTGGTAAAGCATGTGACTCTTGATCTTGGAATTCTGAGTTTGAGGCCCATATTGGGGATAGAATTTACTTTTTTAAAAACATTTTTTAAAATAAATAAATGGGCTCCGTGCTCAGTGGGGAGTCTGCTTTTCCCTCTCTCTCTGCCCCTCCTCCTCTGCTCCTGCTCTCTTTCTCTCAAATAAATAAATAAAATCTTACCAAAAAATAAAATAGGAATGTCTCGGTGGCTAGGTCGTTTAAGCATCTTCCTTTGGCTCAGGTCGTGATCCCAGGGTCCTGGAATTGAGTCCCACATCTGGGCTCCTTTTTCAGTGGGGAGCCTACTTGTGCTTGGGCTGTCTCTCTCTCTCTGGCAAATAATTTTTTTTAATATAAACAAACAAACAAACAGTGGCCAAGTTAGAGAATGCACTGATAAACCTGACCTGGACTGAGTTGTGTCCCCTCAAAATTCATATATTGAAACCCTAACCCCTAATGTGACTATCTGGAAACAGCTTTTCCGTGGTCATTAAGGATAAATGGTTATAAGGATGGGCCCTAACACAGCAGGACTGGTGTCATTATAAGAAGAGGAAGGGTCATATGGGTGACTCAGTGGATCGAGCCCTGACTCTTGGGTTTGCTCAGATCATGATCTCACAGGTCCTGGGAAGGCACCCCAAGTGGGGCTCTGTGCTCAGTGGGGGAGTCTGCTTGGAGATTCTCTCCCTCTGCCCCTCCCCCTGCATGTTCACTCTCTCTCTCTCTTTCTCTCTCTCAAATTAATCTTTAAAAAAGAAGAAGAAGAAGAAGAAGAAGAAAAGGAAAAGACAGAGAGGCCTCTCCCCACACATATAAACACACACCAAGGAAAGACCTTGTGTTGGCCAGGGACAGACATCTGTTGGCCAGGGAGAGAGTCTGCACCAGAAACCAGACCCTTTGCACCTTGACCTTGGGCTCTCCAGCCTCCACAATTATGGGAAAATAATTTTCTGTTGCTTAAGCCATTCAGTCTGTGGTACATGGAGCCCCAGCTGACTAATACAGTTGGAGGTTGGGGGAGCCCTGCCCAAACCAGGGGGACTATAGGAGGGGTATCCCTCCTAGAAAGTCACAGCGCTATGCTAGAAGAGGGGGGAATGTTTTGGCATGCAAAAACAACAGGTGGCCACCATTTGGGGATAAATCTCTTAATCTCACTTTGCTTCAATCTCCCCTATAATCTCTGGAGGAGAGTGGGGAATTTAATAGAGTAACATGTTCTCCCTAGTGGAAATGGTGGTGTGCCGGCTTCAGCCATATAAAGAAGGGCAACTCTGGATCACAGGAGAGCAAACATTTTGTGTAAAAGGCCAGAGAATAAATATTTCAGGCCCTACAGTCTTTGCTCTGACTACTTGGGTCTGCTATTATAAACCCAAAGCAACTGCATTCATTTCCTGGGGCTGCCATAACAAAGAACCACGGGGACGGGGCTGGGGGGGGGGGGGGGGTGGCTGCGGTTGCTGTTTAAAACAACAGACATGTATTCCCTCACAGTTCTTGAAGGCAACAGGGCTGTGCTCCCTCAGAAGACTTAAGGGGAGGATCCTTCCTTGACTGGTCCAGCTTGTGGTGGCCCCAGGCCTTCTTTGGCTTGTGGCCAGATCACTCTGCTCCAATCCCTGCCTCTCTCTTGCCGTAGGCTTCTCCTCTGTGTCTGTACCCTTTTCTGTCTCTTGGAAGGACACTTGTCACTGGATGCAATCCTGGTGATCTCATCTGGAGATCCTTAATTACATCTGCAAGGATTCCCTTCCCCAGTAAGCTCACATTCATAGGTTCCAAGGATTAGGACAGGGACATATCTCTTTTGGGGAGGGGGCTTATTGGAAGAGCCTCAGTTTTCCTTCTTATGTGTCTCCTTTGCTACTCACACTGCAAACCCCACTTCTGGCACATATGGCCATCAAATGCAAGGAGGTTATCCCCCTACAACAAACAATTCTCTGTCATACCAGCTGGGTGTCCTACAATTTAACTTGATTGTGACACACTATCTCCCTGGAGATGGTATCAGATCTCACAGGTTAAGAGCTCATTCCCACCAGACTGCCCCCCGCACCTCAGACACCAATCACAACTAGTAGGTCTCCCCAAATGACCCACTATTCTGTCCAATTTGGGTGCACATTGGAGGTTCCTATAACCCCCTCCTCAAGTTTGATTTGTTTGCTAAAATAGCTCACAGAACTCAGGGGAGCATGTCTCCCAGTTTATTAAAGGACACGATAAATGTACTTCCATCCGGAGGGAGTTGGGATGCCCCCTTTTTTTTTTACAGGGAGTCATGTCACCCTCCCAGTACGTGGATGTGTTCACCAGCTTGGAAGCTCCCCAAGCCTGGTACTATTGAGATTTTACGGAGGCTTTCTCACGTGTGCATGATTAATTATTATTTTTAAGATTTTATTTATTTAACAGAGAGAGAGAGAGCACAAGCAGGGGAGTGGCAGGCAGAGGGTGAAGAAGAAGCATGTTCCCCACTGAGCAGGGACCTTGACACAGGCTCCATCCCAGGACCCGGAGATTATGACCTGAGACGAAGGCAGATGCTTAGCTGACAGAGCCACCTGGGGTACCCCAGGCATGATCAATTATTAACTAAATTTTAGCCCCTTTCCCCTCTCTGGAGAAATGGTGGGGCTGCTGAAAACACGAAGCTTCTCAACACGGCTTGGTCTTCCTGGTGACCAGACCCCATCCTGGAGCCAACCAGGAGCGCCCCCAGAGTCACTGCATTAGAAGAAAAGATACTCCTACTGCTGTTATCACCTAGGAAATTACAAGGGTTTTAGGAGCTCTGTGCCAGGAACCAGGCACAGAGACTAATATATTTTCTATTATCTCACAGTGGGCCACGATTCACCCCACTACACTGAGCAAATGATGTATCACTGGTACTGTTTTTCCTGCCTCTAATCGGTTTCCATAGCTCA